CAGCTATTAAGACTGTACCGTTACGGTACACATGTATAGATAAACAGCTATTCAGATTATACCGGTACGGTACATGTAAAGATAAACAGCTATTCAGATTGTACCCCACGGTACACATGTATAGATCAACAGCTATTCAGATTGTACCGACCGGCCGGTACACATGTTGAGATCAACAGCTATTCAGATTATTACCGATAGCGGTACACATGTATAGATAAACAGCTACTCAGATCGTTACCGATACGGTACATGTATAGATCAACAGCTATTCAGATTGTACCGACCGACGGTACACATGTTGAGATCAACAGCTATTCACATTAATTACCCATTACCCGGTAAACATGTAGAGATAAACAGCTATTCAGATCATTGCCGTTACGTTACACATGCATAGATCAACAGCTATTCAGATTGTACCGACCGGACGGTACACATGTAAGATAAACAGCTATTCAGATCGTACCGGCCCACGGGACACATGTATAGATAAACAGCTATTCAGATTGTACCGGCCCACGGTACACATGTATAGATCAACAGCTATTCAGATTGTACCGGCCCGACGGTACACATGTATAGATCAACAGCTATTCAGATTGTACCGACCCCACGGTACACATGTATAGATCAACAGCTATTCAGATTTGTACCGACCCGACGGTACACATGTATAGATAAGCAGCTATTCAGATTGTACCGACCGACGGTACACATGTATAGATAAACAGCTATTCAGATTGTACCGACCGACGGTACATGTATAGATCAACAGCTATTCAGATTGTACCGGCCTTACGGTACACATGTATAGATCAACAGCTATTCAGATTGTACCCGCCCACGGTACACATGTATAGATAAACAGCTATTCAGATTGTACCGACCGACGGTACACATGTATAGATCAACAGCTATTCACATTGTACCGGCCACGGTACACATGTATAGATAAACAGCTACCAGATTGTACCGACCGACGGTACACATGTATAGATCAACAGCTATTCAGATTGTACCGACCGACGGTACACATGTAAAGATAAACAGCTATTCAGATCGTACCGGCCCACGGGACACATGTATAGATAAACAGCTATTCAGATTGTACCGGCCCACGGTACCATGTATAGATCAACAGCTATTCAGATTGTACCCCGGTACATGTATCGATCAACAGCTATTCACATTGTATAGATACAATGTATAGATCAACAGCTATACAGATTGTACCGACCGACGGTACACATGTATAGATAAACAGCTATTCAGATTGTACCGGCACGGTACACATGTATAGATCAACAGCTATTCAGATTGTACCGACCGGACGGTACACATGTATAGATCAACAGCTATTCAGATTGTACCGGCCCACGGTACACATGTATAGATAAGCAGCTATTCAGATTGTACCGACCGGCCCGGTACACATGTATAGATAAACAGCTATTCAGATTGTACCGGCCCACGGTACACATGTATAGATAAACAGCTATTCAGATTGTACCGGCCGTACGGTACATGTACATAGATCAACAGCTATTCAGATTGTACCGGCCCACGGTACACATGCATAGATCAACAGCTATTCAGATTGTACCGGCCCACGGTACACATGTATAGATAAACAGCTATTCAGATTGTACCGACCGACGGTACACATGTATAGATCAACAGCTATTCAGATTGTACCGGCCGACGGTACACATGTATAGATCAACAGCTATTCAGATTGTACCGGCCCACGGTACACATGTATAGATAAACAGCTATTCAGATTGTACCGGCCGACGGTACACATGTATAGATCAACAGCTATTCAGATTGTACCGACCGACGGTACACATGTATAGATAAACAGCTATTCAGATTGTACCGACCGACGGTACACATGTATAGATAAACAGCTATTCAGATTGTACCGACCGACGGTACACATGTATAGATAAACAGCTATTCAGATTGTACCGGCCCACGGTACACATGTATAGATAAACAGCTATTCAGATTGTACCGGCCCACGGTACACATGTATAGATAAACAGCTATTCAGATTGTACCGGCCCACGGTACACATGTATAGATCAACAGCTATTCAGATTGTACCGACCGACGGTACACATGTATAGATCAACAGCTATTCAGATTGTACCGACGGACGGTACACATGTATAGATAAACAGCTATTCAGATCGTGCCGGCCGACGGTACACATGTATAGATCAACAGCTATTCAGATTGTACCGACCGACGGTACACATGTTGAGATCAACAGCTATTCACATTGTACCGGCCCACGGTAACACATGTATAGATAAACAGCTATTCAGATTGTACCGGCCCACGGTACACATGTATAGATCAACAGCTATTCAGATTGTACCGACCGACGGTACACATGTATAGATAAACAGCTATTCAGCTATTCACGGACACATGTATAGATAACCAGCTATTCAGACGGTACATGTATAGATCAACAGCTATTCAGATTGTACCGACCGACGGTACACATGTATAGATCAACAGCTATTCAGATTGTACCGGCCCACGGTACACATGTATAGATCAACAGCTATTCAGATTGTACCGGCCCACGGTACACATGTATAGATCAACAGCTATTCAGATTGTACCGGCCGACGGTACACATGTATAGATCAACAGCTATTCAGATTGTACCGGCCCACGGTACACATGTATAGATCAACAGCTATTCAGATTGTACCGGCCGACGGTACACATGTATAGATCAACAGCTATTCAGATTGTAATGTTTAACAATACCACAAACGTTGTGACTCTTCTGCTCAGAAACCTGGCGGGAGAAAACAAAAGCCGCGATAAGCATTGTTGACAGGGAGCTGGCAGTTGACATATGTCACGAAACAGACACTTTCCTTCACATTTCTGTGGGCGTTAATTACATATGCTCGAATAGTAACACCTTTATAATCATCATACATAATGCATTAGGCTGATGGGCGCCAAGTGTGTCAAGTCGTTCTCTCTGTCGTCTCATCATGACATCATCGATCCCACCTGTGACCGGGTGTAAAAACCTTGGAGTCAACATTGTGTGCAGACTCTTTAAGCGTTGTCGGATCCCCTAGTGTACAGTATTTAACCCTGTGCACTTAAAAGAACCCACGAATCCGTTGGTATATGACCAGATTGTGGCCACATGAATACGTGCAAACACCTAGTTGCGGGTACAGCAACGTGCAGTAAACTTGGACACGGTACTAGGATTATGTGTCCCAGTCCACCCAGCAGTGAGTGGGTACCTAAGGATGGCAAAGCCGCAATAACTCGGTGCGCCTTGTGGCAGCAAGAGTTGTATGATTCCCAGGGAGTTGAGATTTATAATACGATGTGCCGTTGAGTCTTAAATCCAGTGATCGAGGGAAAAATTACCAGCGCCTTGAGCATGTACTAGTTGCGTGGATATGTTCGCTATATAAATATCCTATAATAAAAATTATTAGTGTACAGCATCATCGCACTTCAAGTACTTCAAGCGGGGTTGGAGAGTACACAGCCAGGTGCTCCGCGAATAAGAAATGTTAGAAATTAGCAAAGATGGCAACGTTGTAACCGATATGCCGTCAAATAATGGCAATGTGTCCACAGACCATATTGGCTACAAGATTCATTAACCGTAAAATGACTGGTATGCATTTCTGAAAGGGTAGAACCTGCGTGTGATAATCATACAGACTTCAGCGTATACGATACCAAGCAGGGGCTGATGATTTCCAACATGCAGCTCGTTGACAGTATTGTATAGGTGAGTGAGTGTTGCATGTTGATCTTCGTGTTGTGTGGCGATCAGTAAATACATTCCCAGGTAGATATTAGTGATAAAACCCTTTCTATAACTTTTAGAAATATCTGCAAGAAACAGATTGTACGTTCCGGCTCTGTAATTAGCATGTCCTTTTAACGAATATATATCAGCTGACACCAAGTGTCCATGAAAACGTGAGCGTATCCTGCGCAACCCGTGTCACCCTCACAAACACGTGCAGAGGCAAGTCAAGTTGAGGTGACAACTTTAGTGTAATAACAACCGTTGGGTGTCTGGTCCAGTCTCGATCATTTGCTGGACTCCCAAGGAATATGGTCCACTAAAATATACCACCGTACAGTTAAACCTCGTCAGCCCGGGCAATGATAATCTTCCAGGTCAGATCGCCCGGAAAAACGCTTAATCGGAATAGCAATACGTTTACTCACAGTGATATCAGTGGCAGGAGAAACAGTTGTAAAGGCAATTACAGTGATTTGTCAGAGGTAGTACATGCTTGAACGTATGTACCAGGCTTGGTGTCAGGCCTGTTACTTACCGGTGCTGTCACATATTGGACTCAGTGTACTGAAATCCTAAAACTGTGTGGAAAAATTATGAATTGATTATTTATCGTTAGTGTGTGATCTGAACATTTGCTGATTCACATTCCAGAACAGTGCATGCTGATGTCTATCTACTGATGTCTCCATTTCAGCTTGTACGTCACCTCGTAAAAGAAATGGTAGTATGCTCGGTTACTGTGGGAGATATCTTCGGAAACATATTCACGTTCCGACCAATAGAACCAAGAAGATTGGTTTACTGGACTATGTTCACTGTAATCTTCAAGGTACAAGAGCCTCTTCTTGCAAAACAACAGTCCTTTTCTCCATGACAGAAGGCGTCCGCCATAACACATCAACTTAACACTGTACGCCTGATGTCGGGAATGTTGTTTACAGATTAGTAATAGTCATTTGTAATGCGAGTATATGTTGCTTCACAACGACCAACGTAATACTAGTTACAGGAAAATAGTTGACGAAGACAAGGAACCAGTAAAAGCCATGTTGTCACCTTAAACTTTCAGAGTATGTTCTAGTGTTATGAACGTTTGAGAATAGAGCATGAGGCGCATGACATGTAGCCCATGTCATGCGGTGTCGGGACGCCAAATCTTGTATGACAGTAACAGCGATCATCACAGATGGAAATGTTTACTGCTAAAATCACTGTGAACACCAACAAGCAAACCACTGCAAACATAAGTGCTTATATTTGGATAATGTAGATAGCTATAATGAACGTTTGTGTTATTTTGCCATGATGGTTATTCAAAGCAGGGCTTTTGACAAGTGCGTCCACACCCATTGCTGCAGCATTTCAGATTCCCCCTGCAGTCGTTGTCACAGAAACACAGGTTAACACACGCTCCAGCCCACCCTGGTCTCACGGCGGGGCAGCTGCCGGGTTTCTCGAAACGTTTGCCTGCAGAGGGAAATATTGTCAATCTGTTATGGTGTGACACGCTCGGGCAATACGATAACACATACGGATGATAAGATAGCAAACCAGAACGATGGGATCACGCACACGGATGATTAGATGACACAAGGATGATAAGATGGCACAAGGATGATTACAGAAGACATCAAGACGATGAGATGACACACAAGGATGATTATAGAAGACATCAAGACGATGAGATGACACACAGGGATGGTTAGATAACACATCAAGATGATGAGATGACACACCTAGATGATGAGATAACACATAAGGATGATGAGATGACACACCGAGATGACGAGATGACACATACGGATGAATAGATGACACAAGGATGGATGAGATGACACACGGATGATGAGATGACACAAGGATGATTAGATGACACACAAGGGTGATGAGATCACATACGGCGATGATTAGATGACACAAGGATGATTAGATGACACACAAGGACGATTAGATGACACACAAGGATGATTAGATGACACACGGATGATGAGATGACACACATGAATGGTGATATGACACACAGGGATGATGAGATGACACACAGGGATGATGAGATGACACACAAGGCTGATTAGATGACACGTAAGGATGATTAGATGGCACATAAGGATGATGAGATGACACGCAAGGATGATGAGGATGATGAGATCACATACACGATGATTAGATGACACAAGGATGATGAGATGACACACAAGGATGATGAGATGACACACACGGATGATGAGGATGATGAGATGACACACAGGGATGATGAGAGATGACACACAGGGATGATGAGATGACACACAGGATGGATGACAAGGATGATGAGATGACACACAAGGATGATGAGATGACACACACGGATGATGAGATGACACACAAATGATGAGATGACACACAGGGATGATGAAGGATGACACACAAGGGATGATGAGATGACACAGGGATGATGAGATGAAGGGATGATGAGATGACACATAAGGATGATGAGATGACACACAGGATGATGAGATGACACACAGGATGAGAGATGACACACAAGGATGATGATGACACACAGGATGATGATTAGATGACACACAAGGATGATGAGATGACACACATGATTAGATGACGACAGGGATGATGAGATGACACACAGGATGATGAGATGACACACAAGGATGATGAGATGACAGGATGATGAGATGACACAAGGATGATGAGATGACACACAGGGATGATGAGATGACACACAGGGATGATGAGATGACAGGGACGATGACACAATGATGATGAGATGACACAGGATGATGAGATGACACATAAGGATGATGAGATGACACATGAGGATGACACACAAGGATGATGAGATGACACAGGGTGATTAGAGGATAAGGATGATGACACATAAGGATGATTAGATGACACACAAAGATGATGAGATGACACAAGGATGATGAGATGACACACACAAGGATGATGAGATGACACACAAGGATGATGAGATGACACACAAGGATGATGAGATGATGACACAGGGATGATGAGATGACACACACACACAGGATGATGAGATGACACACAAGGATGATGATGACACAGAGATGACACACAAGGATGATGAGATGACACACAGGATGGATGATGAGATGATGAGACACAAGGATGATGAGATGACATGACACACAGGATGATGAGATGACACACAGGGATGATGAGATGACACACAGGATGAGATGACAGAGGATGATGAGATGATAAGGATGATGATGACACAAGGATGATGAGAGATGACACACAGGGATGATGAGATGACACACAGGATGAAGGATGATGAGATGACACACAAAGATGATGAGATGATAAGGATGATGAGATGACACATAGGATGATGATGACACATAAGATGACACACAAGGATGATGAGATGATGACACATGAGGGATGATTGAGATGACACACAAAGATGATAGGATGACACAAGGATGATGAGATGACACACAGGGATGATGGGATTAGATGACACACAAGGATGAGATGACACACACACAGGATGATGAGAGATGACACAGGGATGATGATGGATGATGAGATGACACACAAGGATGATGAGATGACACACAAGGATGATGAGATGACACAAGGATGATGAGATGATGGAGGATGATGATAGGATGACACACAAGGATGATGAGATGACACACAGGGATGATGAGATGACACAGGGATGATGAGATGACACACAAGGATGATTAGATGATGATGATTAGAGACACAAGGACACACACAGGGATGATGAGATGACACACACAGGGATGATGAGATGACACACAGGGATGATGAGATGACACACACATGATGAGATGAGGATGATGAGATGATTACACACAAGGATGATGAGATGACACACATAGGATGATGAGATGACACACAAGGATGATGAGATGACACACAGGGATGATGAGATGACACACAGGATGATGATGACACATAGAGGATGATGAGATGACACACAGGGATGATGAGATGACACACAAGGATGATTAGATGACACAGGGATGATGAGATGACACACAGGGATGATGAGATGACACATAAGGATGATGAGATGACACACAAGGATGATTAGATGACACACAAGGATGATGAGATGACACACAAGGATGATGAGATGACACACAAGGATGATGAGATGACACACAAGGATGATGAGATGACACATAAGGATGATGAGATGACACATAAGGATGATTAGATGACACACAAGGATGATGAGATGACACACAAGGATGATTAGATGACACATAAGGATGATGAGAGATGACACAAGGATGATGAGATGACACACAGGGATGATGAGATGACACACAAGGATGATGAGATGACACACAGGGATGATGAGATGACACACAGGATGATTAGATGACACACAAGGATGATGAGATGACACACAGGGATGATGAGATGACACACAAGGATGATGAGATGACACACAAGGATGATGAGATGACACATAAGGATGATTAGATGACACACAAGGATGATGAGATGACACACAAGGATGATGAGATGACACATAAGGGTGATTAGATGACACATAAGGATGATTAGATGACACATAAGGATGATTAGATGACACACAAAGATGATGAGATGACACACCGAGATGATGAGATGACACATAAGGATGATTAGATGGCACATAAGGATGATTAGATGACACACAAAGATGATGAGATGACACACAGGGATGATGAAATGACACACAAGGATGATGATATGACACATGAGGATGATGAGATGAGTCAAGGATGATTAGATGACACACAAGGTTGAATAGATGACACACAAGGCTGATAAGATGACGCAAGGATGATTAGATGACACATAAGGATGATTAAATGACACACAAAGATGATGAGATGACACACCGAGATGAAGAGATGACACATGAGGATGATTAGATGACACACAAGGATGATTAGATGACACATAATAATGATTACCTGAACGTCCTCGTTTGAGATATTTTGTCCAGTATCTTGAAATTCGAGGATCAGATATTGGCCCACTGTAGCAACAGATACCTGGGTTTTTACAGTAGGTGTTACTGGGGCACTGAAGGTTGGTTGTACAGGATACCTCGTTACCAAAGTAGTTTAGGGCTGGCAGGCCAACCGGACACGTCCCAGATGGTGTAGGAGAGTTACCTGTTGATTATTTCAAACAATAAACAGCTGTGTATCAAACCCATTGCTTAGTAATGTAATTGTGTATGGATATGATAAACACTATTTAGAAAAGCAGGGGATATTCAATATTGATATTTTATGTCTTTGGTGGCCATCCATGTTTTGCCAAAGCCTCTTATTGTCCGTCACGCCATATACCATGAAAATTCAAATTGAATCCACCTCTATTCTCAAAACAATCCCGGACTTTCCTTGCTCCATGCTTATCTGCTTGACTGACACCATGCTATCTTCTTATCAGAGTTATGTATATGAAACATCTATAGCTTTAAAACTAAACCAGCGATAGGGATGACGCAGACATTCTACTTACTGACACAGGTAGGCACTGCCGGACAAATGTTGTATAAACACCATGCCAATAGTCGACACACACCTGCTGTGCAGTTGATATACAGCTGTGCAGAAAGTAAAACACCTTGTCTCAAAAGGGACAAAACAAGAATCCAGGGTTCATTGAGCAGGGCATTATTTGAGTCATCAACACATGTAAATGTCATATAAAGAAACGTATGGTCTGTGCATTGTATATGGAGTGCTTGTGGAGGTCTGTGCATTGTATATGGAGCGCTTGTGGAGGTCTTGGCATTGTATATGGAGCGCTTGTGGAGGTCTGTGCATTGTATATGGAGTGCTTGTGGAGGTCTGTGCATTGTATATGGAGTGCTTGTGGAGGTCTGTGCATTGTATATGGAGTGCTTGTGGAGGTCTTGGCATTGTATATGGAGCGCTTGTGGAGGTCTGTGCATTGTATATGGAGTGCTTGTGGAGGTCTTGGCATTGTATACGGAGTGCTTGTGGAGGTCTGTGCATTGTATATGGAGTGCTTGTGGAGGTCTGGGCATTGTATATGGAGTGCTTGTGGAGGTGTGGGCATTGTCTATGGAGTGCTTGTGGAGGTCTGGGCATTGCATATGGAGAGCTTGTGGAGGTCTGTGCGTTGTATATGGAGTGCTTGTGGAGGTCTGTGGAGTGTGTGTGATGTATATGAGATGTATGTGGAGTGTATGTGGGGCCTTTGAGGAACCGGCCTGGAGTATATGTGCACGAAGTACGCTCAAATACATTAATGCTGTTGGCACGTCAAAAGATGCACAAAAGCCAAAAGATACGTTACCCTACTACCTTTATAAATTACTTAAAAACTATCAAAGATATATTAGAAGGTATTAGTTTACAAGAAAGCTTGACAACACAGCTTTATGCAAATCACGAAACAATTTCTCAAATGCATTCATATTTAGGTGAAATGCATCTTATCAGAAGAGTTAATTTGTCCTATTTTCGACCATGCAGATATAAACCAATAACATTGATTTAGATGTCCAAAAGAAGGGTTGAAGTAAAATACTGCTTTTAGACAAACATAAACCATTTAAAGTCACCATTTTTCAACTATTAAAACAAGAAACAACTCTTGTAGAGTGCGTAAAATTGTAAAAGAATCATTCCTATCTTTTAAAACATTGTTTCTGCTGATTTGCATTAGTGAAAGCAAGTTCAACGTGTCTTTGATATTGTGAAAAATATTTAGGAACACCTAAAATCATCTTTGTTAACATTTTTGCTTGCAAAGTAACATTTTTCCATTTTCTCTTTACACATAGGAATATCAATCGCCAAAACGCAGCAATGGCCCAGCAGTATATGCATCATTCACGTGTAGAATGATTTTATAGGGTATGAAGAGAGCCTAGAATACATGATATGATACACAAGTATATAGAAATATGCCACGTTTAACAGCTGAAGAGAGAGAAAGAGCCATTGGGATGTTGCAGATGGGGTCGGCATACAATGCGGTTGCCAGCGCCCTCGTATGCCACCGCATCACGGTTATAAGACTTATTCAGCGCTACAGATAGACTGAGGTCATCGTAGACAGACCAAGAAAAGGACGTCCACGCATCACAAGGCAGCAGAAAGTTTCATGCTCAGATTTTAAGACATTCATTAAGGAAGGAGGGTAACGTTTCTTTTGGTGTTTATAGTATGTGAAGTTATCATTGAATATTGTAGCATATGACCACATGGACACGGGACGCATGCAGGTGTTGCCACAACTACAAAACAATCCGACTTCTGCATTGTCTTACTTACCCCGGGAGTGCAAGGGTCTTGCGGCAGATCGCCACGGGATCCATCTGGAGAAATACCAATTGTGAAACCAAACTGCCTTCTTGCTTCATATTTAATGTATACATATACACCTGATGTAATATTCGACAAAGCAGTACACGACGTTAAATCCCACATGTCTTCCTATGACAATACATGCATACTTTTCTTCCACTTTGGGTGGAAGGTTTGATTTTGAGATTAATCTTAACCAATCCTATGAAACGTTTGCTATTACCTGAGTCAGTGTCATAACTTGCTCCATTTCCTTTTCCTGATCTCGATCCTGACCCTGAACCTGAACTTGACTCTGAACCTGAGTTTGACAGTGAACTTGAGCCCGAGTCTGAATCTGAGTCTGAGTCTAAGCCTGAGCCTGAACTTGAGCCTGAGCCCGAACCTGATCCTGCTCCGGAGCTTGAGCCTGCTCCTGAGCTTGAACCTGCTCCTGAGCTTGAGAACCTGCTCCTGAGCTTGAGCCTGCTCCTGAGCTTGAACCTGATCCGGAGCTTGAACCTGATCCGGAGCTTGAACCCGATCCGGAGCTTGAACCTGCTCCGGAGCTTGAGCCTGCTCCTGAGCTTGAACCTGCTCCTAAGCTTGAACCTGCTCCTGAGCTTGAGCCTGAACTTGAGCCTGCTCCTGAGCTTGAGCCTGAACTTGAGCTTGAACCTGAGCTTGAACCTGCTCCTGAGCTTGAACCTGAACTTGACCCTGCTCCTGAGCTTGAGCCTGAACCTTAGGAGAGTGATGTGAACTGTGATTAATCTATTCCTTGACATATTATATAAAACTAATTTAGGTTAAATCAATATCCATGTTCTCATGATTATCTAGATCAAATTATCAAATCTATTATATCCATGATAAACGAAAAACATTTTGAACTAACTAGAAATAATCCCAGGGAAAAAGGCGAGTGACATCGGCTATGCTTACTGTGTACGAGAGATCTGGCTATGTATTTTGATACCTCCCCGACGGACTCCTGATCCCGGTAGATAGACGGATTCCTGATACCGGTAGATACACGGTAGATACACGGTAGATACACTGGTAAAGAACCTACTAATTCCTGAGACAGGAAGATACTGATACCAAGTAGAAGAACATTTTTGATACCCGGTAGAGAAACATACTGATACCATGTAGATGAACATATTGATACCCGGGAGAGAAACATATTGATACCTGGTAGATGAACATACTGATACCCAGTAGAGAAATATACTCATCCCCGGTAGAGAAAGAAAGGTTCACGGTAGAAAATGGTACTGATACCTAGATATCTGGTAGAGGACATAAAGATACCTGGTGGAGGAGTAATTTATACCTTGAGAGGAGCATGCGGACACCTGCTAGTAAAACATACTTCTGTAAAGGATAAAACACGACTCCGAGGTCTTGGTCGGGATTGTAAAACCCTCGAGCAGCAGGGATGGAGGTTTAACAAGCTCCGTCCCTGCTGCTCGAGGGTTTTACAATCCCGACCACGACCGAGGGGAGTGTTTTATCCGACTTATGAACCGTCATGAATGTTAAACAAAAATATGTACTATTTTCAATTTGTGCATGTACTGAGCAGAACAACATTGATGGAACAGCCCGCAAATGATGGGACAGCCGGTGTCAACTTGGATGCAACTGACAGCCAACGCCTAGCCTCGCACAAGCTACCCGTGTCCTGCACGTGCGCTGCTCGCAGTACCCGTCTTGTGAGGAACAGATGGTTCATACTGACAAACAAACGCTTTCTTCACAGCGATCCTTCGTAGCGTAGTGGATAAAACCGCCAAGCTAGAGAGCGAAGGGGAGCGGATTCGAAACAAAGCATCGCTACTATACATTGGAAGCTTTCAATAACAAGATATTTTACGATCAGTCATAGCAAGACAAAGTTGTATCAATCATAAATAATGGTCATTTATAAACCTATGGCCAATTTTGTCTATTGTTCTTGCAGTTGCTTCGCATTATGGAATAACCTCGGTAGAGGTTTTACGATTGCAGGAGGTTTTACAATGATCATTGTAATACCTCGCAGGAGGTTTTACAATGACCGTTGTAATACCTCATACGAGGTACGAAGTTTTACAATGGTCGTTGTAAAACCTCATACCCTGATGACTGATCGTAAAATTTCTAATTATTGAAAACTTGCAATATTTTTGGCGATAACTGGTTTCGAACCCACAACCCATCGCTTTCTAGCTTGGCGGTTTTATCCACTACGCTACGAAGGATCGCTGTGAGGAATGAGATTGTTTGTCAGTATGAACCATGTGTTTCTCACACGACAGGTACTGTGGGCAGCGCACGTGCAGAACACGGGTAGCGCGTGCAGGACACGGATTGCGCGTGCGGGGCAAGGTGTTGGCTGCCAGTCGCATCCCAGTTGAGACCGGCTGTTCCATCATTTGCGGGCTGTTCCATGAATGTTGTTCTACTCAGTACATGCACAAATTGAAATTAAGTGTTGTCTTAGACGGTTTATAAGATAACATTTCGTGTTCTGAAGAGGTTGTGGAGATTGTAAAACCTCAGTGTCAGAAATCTTCTCGGCGCTAACGCGCCCTCGGGATTTCCTTCCCCTGAGGTTTTACAATCTCCACCAAAACCTCGGAGTCGTGTTTTATCCTATACTTCAAAACCTCGTATCAGGTTAAATAACGACCATTTCAAAACCTAGGTTATGAAATAGTCGAAATTTAACCTGATATGAGGTTTCGAAACGTGTACTTCAAAACCCGGGTTAAGAAATGATCGGTGCAAAGTCACGGCAGAGGTCTATCCGATTCTGGAAGGAACCTACTTTGCTGCAGAGAAAATCGGAGATAGGTTGATAACCCTGGTAGAAGAACATACTAATGATACTTGGTAGACGAACATTCTGATACCCAGGAGGGGAACATTATATACTTATACGAGGTAGAGGAACATAATTATACCCCTTAGAGGAACATACTTATACCTGTTAGAGCAACATACGTATTCCTAGTAGACAAATAGACTGCTAACTAGTACAATAACCTGTTTGTAGACGATAGGACGGAAATCTAGTAGAAGAACATACTGGGTGACAAAAGGACTGATAGATAGCTGGGAAGAGAAGATACTGATGTTTGTTCGAAATACACACCTGAACCAGAACCGAAGCAGCATACAGCGTATTCATCCCCACGACCTATCACACAGTAAGTATTTAGGGGACATCGTCTCCCTCCGCGACCACAAAACAGCAGCAGGAGGTCTCTGCCTAGTGCAGGCGTACCCACAGGACAGACGTCAGGGTATGGTTGAAGTGGTGGATCCTTAGCTGTCAGAAGAGAAACTGGCATGAACTGGACAACAACACTGTTGATGTGTGTATGTATTTGTGAGTGAGTGAGTGAGTGAGTTAATATTTAACGTCACATCGGCAATATCTCAGTCACATCGTGACGAGAACATATTTGACATTGAAATGGAATATATGTAAATGATAAAAACCTGTCTACGAAGGACAGTAAAACAACTAGAATATCACAATTACAACTAAAACTAGTGTGGAAAGTTGAAACTAATAGCACTATTTGGACAATACAATATAAAAACTGGCTATAGATCTATTTGTGTTTGTGCCTGCCACGTGGATGGGAGGAAATGTTAAATAACCATATTTTATGAAACGTATTTCTAAATCCGTCGAAAGACAATACTAGCTATCTAGACAGTTTGAACTCATTTATGTGCAAACAATGATACATTGAAGAGAGTTTCTACTTCTCTGTTGTTTCAGTGTGGCATCATGATACTGGACCCTTTCTCAAGTAAGTCTATAAATCTGTTTTGTCGTCATTGCTTTCTACAGCTTCCTTTACACATTAGTTAGTCAGTACCTACCAACGCAGGTTGGAGTTACGGGGCAGCCAAGTCGAGTACAGTCCTCAACTAGTCGACAGACACCTTTCGTGCAGTTGACATTCAGCTGGACACAATAAACAAACTTCATGAAACATTTATTGCGGGCTACTAGATTATATGTTACAGTGTTTTAAAAGGACGAAAATGCTAGAGAAATAACAAAAAGACTGTAAATAAAAAGTTCAGTTGAGAGGTTATGGTATACACGTTGTATAACTCACACCAGGTGTGCAGGGATCCAGCAGGGAAGGGGGTCGGGGACGTGCTGCAGAGAGAGGGAGAGAGTCACAGTTACCGTTTGGTGAAGTATACATTTATATTATGTCAATAATAGAACGATCTACCTTCATGTAAGACTGTTCCATAACCTTCCAGAAATTTACACAATGTATGTTTACAGTCAGTGTCCCTTATGGATCATACGCGCTATTATACCTTTATCACGTCCAACACCTGAAATGTGAACACCTTCTGAAGTTTCATAATAATAAGACAACGTTAACACTGGACACAGCTATGGCACCAAACAATGTGACTGAGAAACAAAAGGGACACCCAAAGGAAACACACCTGGTGGGTTGATTCCCGACACTTCGATACAACAGACAGCTCCTTGAGAACAGTATGTATTGAAGGGACATGTGTTCCCCTCTCTGCATGAGATTTCAACAAGCGAGCCATTTAGCACAGGCTTCCCCACAGGACACTGACGTGATGGTGGTGGAGATGGATCTGCAACAACAGAAACAACCACCACAATTGTTATGTGTTTGGTGGGAAACCGTCGCATCATCTCCTCTCCCCAAACTCTCTCTACATATGGAACTGTTTTGAAATCACCAGTCACCTGATTTAACCATAGATATAACTATGTTCTACTTTGGATTTGTCCAGTTATGACATTGACAAGTTATGGAACTCTTGATTAAATGAATTTAATTCTTTGCGTGTGTGTGTGAAATGCAATAAACGTTCAATCAGTGATGGTGATTCAAGTGACTTATATATGTGGCATACACAGAACAGAAGAGGCCGTTTGACCGGTATGTCTAGCCTAGGTGGATGTATCGTCGGGATGGACGTGACTGCTTGACCGGTAAAGAACGGTACAGATCATGATATCTACGAAGCTGATTGCAAAACTGAAATACCCAAATAAATTATAAACATGTGGTAAAGATAATGAAATGAGGGGGGCGGCGATTTAAGAAATCATGCTTCAAGTCTTCAAATTATGACTATTATTACAACAGGTGAGCAGGTGAGCAGTTGAGCAGGTGATTATTGAAAGGTTAAACTCAACCTCTGCTCAAGATATCATTGGTTCCTTTTTGCACATTGTACGCAATGATGTTAATGCAACTGTTGATAAACTTAATGTATTTTGACGGTGAAGATTTTATTCACGTTTCAAAACAGACGCATACACAGAAAGTACAACCGGTGTGGTTTGATAAAGATCGTTTGGAATTAAAGCATAAAAAATATTTCCATCTGAATTTGTTGAGAAAATGCAAATCTGCAGATAATTTGAAAGGATATTTAGAAGCGAAAAAGCTTTATAGAAATGTTTGTAAAGAAAAATGTGCGCTTTATAAAAATAAAATTGTCCATGAAATTAAGTGTGCAACGGAGGAGAAAAATTGTATAAAGTACTTTGGCGTAAAGGGAAGTCTTTACTCGCAGTTGCAACAATATACCTGTTGAATCTGTGTTTGCTTATTTCAAAGATTTGTTAAATCCTCAACTCTGAATTTACAGATTGTGTGATTGATTTCAATACCCACCATGATTCTGTCGAATGTATTGATTGTATATATCTCTTGCATTTTGTCAGATCGCATTACACAAGGTGAAATAAGGAAGGCAATTAATTCTTTGAAGTTGGGTAAAGCGCCAGGTCCAGACGGGATACCCTCTGAGGTCTTTGTGTCACTCCTTATTTAGAAATTTTATTTAATTCAATTTTCAGATAAAGGACAGTTCCCGGATTCGTGGAGTATTGGTATGATTCTAGCGCTCTTTAGGAAGGGGGACAATTCAGATCCACATAACTATCGAGGTATTTCTCTTCTGAACATATTGGGTAAGGTTTTTACATCTATTTTGGAGTCAAGGTTACTTATTTGGATAGATACTAATTTTATGATTCATGGAATCAGGCTTGCTTCAGGAGTAAATATTCCTCTGTAGATAATATTTTTGTGCTACAATCTTTGTGTCAAAAATATTTTCGAAAGTCAAAACATCGGTTTTATGCCGCCTTCATAGATTTTCGTAAGGCGTTTGATTTTGTAGACAGGCAGAAGTTATTGTATGTGTTACATAATAAGGGTGTTGTTGGTAAAATGTATACTCTCCTGCAAGATATGTATGGTAAAGTCAAGGCATGTATAGTAATAAATAGGTGTAAAACTGAATCGTTTTCAACATCTTGCGGCGTTCGTTAAGGCTGTATGTTAAGCCCTGTTTCATTCACTCTCTTCATTAACGAGTTGGCTATAGAATTTAGAAATAGTAGTTTAAGAGGTATGTTTGTCACTGAAGAAATAGAAGATATTCCCTTGTTGTTGTTTGCTGATGACGTAGTGTTGGTAGACGATTTGTGGGTTACAACAAAAATTAGATTTCTTGCATAATTATTGTTTGAAGCGGGGTTTAGGGGTTAAGAGATAAATCAAATATAATAGTGTTTCAAAATGGAGAGCGTTTAAAGAACGTAGAGAAGTGGTATTATTCGGGTAAAGAGGTTACTATAGTCACCTTATAAAAATATCCTGGTATTGTATTTTCCTCAAGAATAGTTTGGTCAAAGGCTTGTGATGCTCTGTCAGTTCAAGCTAGGAAGGCTCTCTTCCCAGTTTATAAATCAATTAAAGTTTATTCCTCACTCCCATTTGGTTTTGTTCAGAAAATATTTAATACCAAAACTTTTCCTATAATATTATATGGTTCGGGAATATGGGGTTGCACTAATAGAACAGATACTGAGAAAGTCCAAAGTTTTAAAAGGTATTTGATTATGTTTAAATTGACTCCGACTCGTGTTCTATTGGGCGATGTTGGGAGATATCCAGTTTGTGTAAGTTATTTCAGTCGCTGTGTCGGGTATTGGAGTAGGCTTCTTTGTATGCAACCAGGTCGTTATCCTAAAGCCTGTTACGAAATGCTAAAGTTGTATGATAGTAATGGTAAAGTAAACTAGGTAACAGGGGTTCGTATGTTATTGTTTTCGATGGGCTTTTCTTATGTTTGGATATCACAGGATTTGGGCAATTATGATATATCCCTTTCCTTTTTACGTTTTTCATTAATGAATTAGCAATACAAATATGTGACACATGTACGAATAGGATTCAACTACACCCAGATACAATACAACTATTTCTGTTACTCTTTGCCGATGATATTGTACTATTTTCTAGTACTGTTAGCGGTTTACAGAAACAAATAGATGAATTAGACACATTTTCTGACCAATATAAATTGTGTGTAAACAGAGACAAAACCAAAATTATCGTCTTTAAGAAAGGTGTCAAACTCTCTAAATTAGAAAAATGGTATTATAAAGGGCAACTACTCAAAACTACCAGTGTTTATAAGTATCTTGGTGTATATTTTTGTAATAGCCTTTCCTGGTCCAAACACACAAAACAAGCGTCAGCACAAGCCTTGAAAATCCTAATCGGTGTTTGTAAAAATATGAGATCGTTGGGTGAAATGTCCTTTAACACATTCTTTAAAATATTCGATATGAAGATAAGTCCAATACTTCTATATGGCTCTGAGATATGGGGATTACAACAATATGACAGTATTGAAAGAGTTCATTTATATGCATGCAAAAAGGTTCTTGGTGTAAAACCGAACATATGTAATAGGATGGTTTACGGAGAATTAGGTAGATTCCCCTTGTTTATATACTCTTCCATTAAAGCCATAAAGTATTGGGTAAGATTACTGCATATGCCATGCCATAGGTTTCGAAAAAATGTTATGATATGATGAAATTGTATGACGAAAATGGGAAAAGGAATTGGGTGAGTGATATTAGGGGAGTTGTTGTACAAAACTGGTTATGGTTATGTGTGGTGTGATCACAATGTTCAGTTGCATACCAATTTTATCATATCCTTTACACAAAGAATGAAAGATATCTATTTCCAGTCTTGGTCGGAATCACTACTTCTATCCACAAAATGTTTATACTATAACCAATGGAAATCGGACATACGTTTTGAAGACTATTTAGCAAAAATCGGCGTAAAGAAGTTCCGTATAGCTCTCTCTCGGTTTTCGTTGCTCTTCCATGAATTATTTATTGAAACTGGCAGGTATGCAGGTATACAAAGATAAATCAGAATATGTCAGTTATGTAATATGAGTACTGTTGAGGATGAACTACATTTTCTTCTAATCTGTCCTGTTTATACGACTCTACGAACAAAATACCTAAAGCCATACTATTATAAGCATCCAAGTGTAAGAACATTAATTTCACTATTAACAGATACTACCACATCACTATTACAGAATCTGGCAATGTACATCTATTTCGCTATGAGATTAAGAAAAAGTAATGTTACAGAAAAGAATTTATAAATGATTTCTATCTACTCATGTAAACTTTAAATGTACTACAGGCCTGTGGCCTTTTAAGTACTGAAATAAAGATTGATTGATTGATATATTTATGTATACCTTTTCAACTCGCTGTAAAGATATACAGTTCCAGGATTGGCATGGTAGGCTATCGGGAAGAAGTGATTTCTCCTTTTATACTAGCTTTGTTAGACACTGAACGTTGTAGAAATGTTTAGTCATAAAGATTTATTACGAATATTTTGTAAATTTAGAATCCAGTCACACAAATTAAAGATTTGTAAATGAAGGTACGATAATAATATTGATACCGACCAACTTTTATGCTCTAATTGTACTAGGAGTGTTGTAGAAGATGAAAATATCACTTTGTGTTACTTTGTCCATATTATAAGCACCTAAGAGATCAACTAATCCCTCTGTATTATTTCACATGTCCTACAAGGGCAAAATTGTATCAACTGTTAACGTCTAACAATCCTGAACATATAAAATATCTCTCCATATACTTGAAACGAAATCTGCTAACTTGAGCTATCACGATCTAAATATCTAAATAAATCGGGATTATTATTGTCCATCGAAAAAGGAATGTTAAGGCATTATACCGTACCAACACATTCTGGGCCCGCAAAACACGGCCAGTATTTACAGTCAGCAACCAGTCGGCACTCGCCTCTTGTACAGTTCACATTAACCTGCGTACAGAGAAAACATTGTACATGAAAATGTGTTGACTGAAGGACACATGGTTACTTGAATCCTAAACATGTCAGTAACTCTGATCAATTCTTCTCAAGGTGTTATTCTCTGGTATTATTGTGTGACAAATGTGTGTGTACTTACACCAGGTTCACAGGGATCTCCAGGGCTTGGTCTTACTGTTGGCGATGGAGCTGGCCTAGGTGGTGTAGCTATTGGCGGAACTGGTGGGGGAAACGATATTAAATTCACTTTTCTTCATAAAAGTACATGGTAGAACAACGGAATATCTCGTAAGGGAACATACTGGACAAACATGCAAGGGACGAATTTGTTCCGGCTCGAGAAACACACTCAGTCCTGGTAGAGAAACATATATACTCAGTCCTGGTAGAGAAACATACTAATACCTGGTAGAAGAACATACTAATACCCGGGAGAGAAACATACTAATACCTGGTAGAGGAACATACTAATACCCGGGAGAGAAACATACTAATACCTGGTAGAAGAACATACTAATACCCGGGAGAGAAACATACTAATACCTGGTAGAAGAACATACTAATACCTGGGAGAGAGAGGAACATACTAATACCTGGTAGAAGAACATACTAATACCCGGGAGAGAAACATACTAATACCTGGTAAAGGAACATACTAATACCTGAGAGAGAAACATACTAATACCTGGTAGAAGAACATACTAATACCCGGGAGAGAAACATACTAATACCTGGTAGAAGAACATACTAATACCCGGGAGAGAAACATACTAATACCTGGTAAAGGAACATACTAATACCTGAGAGAGAAACATACTAATACCTGGTAGAAGAACATACTAATACCCGGGAGAGAAACATACTAATACCTGGTAGAAGAACATACTAATACCCGGGAGAGAAACATACTAATACCTGGTAAAGGAACATACTAATACCCGGGAGAGAAACATACTAATACCTGGTAAAGGAACATACTAATACCCGGGAGAGAAACATACTAATACCTGGTAGAAGAACATACTAATACCCGGGAGAGAAACATACTAATACCTGGTAAGAGAACATACTAATATACTAATACCTGGAATACCTGGTAGAAGAACATACTAATACCCGGGAGAGAAACATACTAATACCTGGTAGAGGAACATACTAATACCTGGAGAGAGAAACATACTAATACCTGGTAGAAGGAACATACTAATACCTGGGAGAGAAACATACTAATACCTGGTAGAAGAACATACTAATACCCTGGTAGGGAGAGAAACATACTAATACCTGGTAGAAGAACATACTAATACCTGGTAGAGAGAAACATACTAATACCTGGTAAAGGAACATACTAATACCTGGAGAGAAACATACTAATACCTGGTAGAAGAACATACTAATACCCGGGAGAGAAACATACTAATACCTGGTAGAAGAACATACTAATACCCGGGAGAGAAACATACTAATACCTGGTAGAGGAACATACTAATACCTGGGAGAGAAACATACTAATACCTGGTAGAGGAACATACTAATACCTGGTAGAGGAACATACTAATACCTGGTAGAGGAACATACTAATACCTGGTAGAGGAACATACTAATACCTGGTAGAGAAACATACTAATACCTGGTAGAGGAACATACTAATACCTGGTAGAGGAACATACTCATTCCTGGTAGAGGAACCATACTAATACCTGGTAGAGGAACATACTAATACCTGGTAGAGGAACATACTCATTCCTGGTAGAGAAACATACTAATACCTGGTAGAGGAACATACTCATTCCTGGTAGGGAACCATACTAATACCTGGTACAGGAACATACTAATACCTGGTAGAGGAACATACTAATACCTGGTAGAGAAACATACTCAGTCCTGGTAGAGAAACATACCGATAGATGGACTGATTTCAAATGGTATGGTTTCAAGTAGAACATATTGATGTTTGTTCGAAATACACACCTGGACCAGAACCAAAACAGCATACAGCGTATTCATCCCCACGACCTATCACACAGTAAGTATTTTGGGGGCATGGTCTCCCTCCGCGACCACAATACAGCAACTGGAGGTCTCTGCCTAGTGCAGGCGTACCCACAGGACAGACGTCAGGGTATGGTGGAAGTGGTGGATCCACATCTGTGAGATGAGAAACTGTCATGAACTAGACAACAACGATGTTGATGTGTGCGTATATATATATATATATATATTTGTGTTTGTGCGTGCCACATTGGTGGGAGGAAATGTTAAAGAATTACATTTTCTGAAACGTATTTCTTAATCCATTCATTTCGTTGTCAAAAGACAATATTAGCTATGCTGACATTGTGAACTCTTTTGTCTTGCAAACAGTGATACACTTAGGGAGGGAGTTTCTACTTCTCTGTTGTTTCAGTGTGACATTATGGGGCACATACTAGACCCTTTCTCAAGTAGGTCCACAGATATCTTCTGTCGTCATTCATTTCTACAGCTTACAAAATGCCATTTACAAAGGTTTCATTATACATTTGTCAGTACCTACCAACGCAGGTTGGTTCTACGGGGCAGCCACGTCGTCTACAGTTCTCGACTAGTCGACAGACACCGCTAGTGCAGTTGACATTCAGCTGGATAAACAAACTTCATGAAAAGTGTATCGGACAACCATCATCTCTACTAGATTATATATCACAGTAGTTTAAAACGATAAAAAACCAGAGAAAATACCAAAGAGAATGTAAGTAACATGATAAGTCATGGTATAAACGTTGTATAACTCACACCAGGTGTGCAGGGGTCCAGCAGGGAGGGGGCTCGGGGACGTGCTGCAGAGAGAGGGAGAGAGCCAAATACTGTTTGGTGACGAATACATTTATATGTGCACAGTAAAATGATTTACCTTCCAGTGTGTCCCGGAACCTACCAGAAATGTACACAATGTGTGTTTACAGCCAGATTCCCTTACTGATCATACGCGATATAATACCTTTATCACGTCTAAGTCATTAAATCCCACACCTGAAATGTGAACACCTTCTGTAGTTTCATTATGATAAGACAAGTTAACATGAAGCATGGTTATGGTACCAAACAATGTGACTGGAAACAACTGGGGACCCAATAGAAACACACCTGGTGGGCTGCTTCCCGCCACTCGGATACAACAGACAGCTCCTTGATAACAGTATGTATTGAAGGGACATGTATTCTCCTCTCTGCATGAGATTTCAACAAGCGAGCCATTTAGCACAGGCTTCCCCTCAGGACACTGACGTGATGGTGGTGGAGATGGATCTGCAACAGGAGAAACAACCACGACAATTGTTATATGTTTCGGAAACCGTCGCATCATCGCTTCTCCCAAAACTCTCTCTATATATGGAATTGTTTTGAAATCGCCAGTCATCTGATTTAATCAAACATGTAACTACATTCAACTTTGAGGCTGATACTGACTATGTCGGCAAAATGAAAGACATGTGCTCTTATTTCCTGCTTGTTTGTAGGCTTGTCCTGTATTGCACTGATCCATCATGTAAGAAATGTGTTTTGGAAAACTCCACGCCCAGATTTGTCCACTTATCTTCGTAATGCTTTATGGGACTTTCGATCCAATGAGTTAACTTTTTTTGTGAAACATTCCCAAAAAGTAACACTTCAATCAGACTGTATAAGAAGCATGTGTTGATGTGCTATTGGAAACGTCCTGATACCAGTCGTTTCAGTGATGGTATCAGCACAAACACACACACACAAAACATGAGAGGGTACGGTTCCTGTCAAATTATGGAATTTCATCGGGACTTAAAATTTTGTCAGTGGTGCTTCAAACGTTGACATCTAAACCAAAAAATGTTTTCATGGCTTGTTCAGGCCTTGGATTATGTAACCCTGATCAGACAATGTTTTCAATTATCTAAGAACGCGCTCAGTTATTGTACATAAAATGTGTTGTGTCCCTTGGACATGAGGTGAAAGGTGACGAGTTGAATTAAAACATCTCTCTCCTTGTCATACAATTCTGTGAAGAAGTTTTGGTCATTCTGGGTCTATATACCTAGAAATTAATTTCAAAGGGAAGAGGCCGTTGACCGGTATGTCTGATATATACGAAGCTGATTGTATAACTGAAATACCCACATGAAGCATAAACATGTGGTTAAGATAATGAAAGGAGGGAGACGGTGATTTAAGAAATCATGCTTCAAGTCTTCAAAGTATTATAATTATCACAACCTGAGCAATACTCAATACGAAGAAATACACGATCTAAACAAAGGGGATTATTATTGTCCATCGAACAAGGAATATTAACGCACTGTACCGTACCAACACATTCTGGGCCCGCAAAACACGGCCAGTATTTACAGTCAGCAACCAGTCGGCACTCGCCTCTTGTACAGTTCACATTAACCTGCGTACAGAGAAAACATTGTACATGAAAATGTGTTGACTGAAGGACACATGGTTACTTAAATTCTAAACATGTCAGTAACTCTGATCAATCCTTCTCAGGATGCTATTCTCTGGTATTATTGTGTGACAAATGTGTGTGTACTTACACCAGGTTCACAGGGACCTCCAGGGCTTGGTCTTACTGTTGACGATGGAGCTGGCCTAGGTGTTGGAGCTATTGGTGGAACTGGTGGGGAAAACGAAGTTGAATTCACTTTTCTTCATAGAAGCATTTTTATTTGCCGTAAATGCTCCTCAACGAGAAGAGTTAGTCATTATTGTTGAAGAACATACTGATACCCGGTAGAATAACATTCTGATACGGCGTTGAAGAACACACAGTTTGTTTGTCGTTTTACGACGCACTCCGCAATATTCCAGCTATAGTCTGTAAATAATGAGTACCAGACAATCCAGTGCTCAACATCATGGGCATCGATCTACGTAATTGGGATACGATGACATGCGAGCCTGACCTCCCGATCCCGTTTGCTGTAGACCAATTTTAACCCAGACCTTCAAGGGTGAGTACATGTGCTACGTGTTAGAGGAACATCATGGTACCTGGTAGAAGAACATACTGACAAATATACAAGGGACAAATTTGTGCGGCTAGAGAACATGCTCAGTCCTGGTAGAGGAACAAACTAATACCTAGAAAAAGAAGAAGAAACATGTACCTGTTAGAGGCACACACTAATACCTGGTAGAAGAACAAACGTGTACCTGTTGGGGGGACATACCGATAGATAGACTGATTTCAATTGGAATGGTTTCAAGTAGAACATATTGATGTTTGTTCAAACTACGCACCTGGACCAGAACTAAAACAGCATACAGCGTATTCATCCCCACGACCTATCACACAGTAAGTATTTGGGGGACATCTTCTTCCTCCGCGACCACAATACAGCAGCTGGAGGTCTTTGCCTAGTGCAGGCGTACCCACAGGGCATACGTCAGGGTATGGTGGAAGTGGTGGATCCACATCTGTGATATGAGAAACTGTCATGAACTGGGCAACAACGATGTTGATGTGTGCATGTATGTGTGTTTGCTCGTGCCACGTGGGTGGGAGGAAATGTTAACAAATCATATTTTCTGGAACGTATTTCATAATTCGTTTAGTTGACAAAAAGACAGTATTATCCATTGAGACAGGTTTTTCTTGCAAACAATGATACACTGAGGGTTGTTACAGTATGGTATAACGGTACACTTACAATGATACACTGAGGGTTGTTACAGTATGGTATAATGGTACACTTACAATGAAACACTGAGGGTTGTTACAGCATGATATAATGGTTCACTTACAATGCCCTTTGTCAAGTACGTCCATAGATCTGTTCTGAAGTCATTGACCTCTACAGCTTCCATTATACAGTAGTTAGTACCTACCAATGCAGGTTGGAGTTACGGGGCAGCCACGTCGCCGACAGTCCTCAACTAGTCGACAGACACCTCTCGTGCAGTTGACATTCAGCTGGACACAATAAACAAACTTCATAAAAATTGTATTGAGAAACAACAACAAATATGTAAATAAAATGTGTTCAATGAGCAGTCATGGTATAAACGTTGTATAACTCACACCAGGTGTGCAGGGATCCAGCAGGGAGGGGGCTCGGGGATGTGCTGCAGAGAGAGGGAGAGAGTCAGATACTTACTGTTTGGTGACGAATACATTTATATGTGCACAGTAAAATGATTCACCTTCATGTAAGATAGTCATAGAACCTTCCAGAAATTGACACATCGTATGTTTAGAGTCAATCTTTTACTAACCGTGCGCGCTATTGTACCTTTATCATGTCTGAAATAGTAGTTGTGTTACATTACATTAAATCCAACACCTGACATGTGAACACCCTCTCCAGTTTCATAATGAAATGAAATAGTTACGGCGCCAAACAGCTTGGACAACATAACAGAAACACACCTTGTGGGTTGATTCCTGGCACTGTGATACAACAGACAGCTCGTTGATAACAGTCAGTATTGAAGGGGCATATATTCTGCTCTCTACAGGAGATTTCGTAGCCCGAGGCATTAAGGACAGGCTTTCCTACCGGACACTGAACTGATGGTGGCGGAGAAGGATCTTGAAAGGATGAAAGATGCAAAAATTGATATATGTATCGGTGACCATCAGTATCTGACATAAAACTATCTGGATATGGCCAAGCACTGATAACAGTGTCTATACAATAAGGAACGTTTACTTCCATTGCCTGTTTCCGGATAAGGACATCATGTCCAGTATTTTTCTGACCCATAATGGAACAAGGCATACAGCCCCCGATCAAAAGAGTTTTCAGTTTTACATTGCCAAGATTCTACGCAGAAAGCACTTTGCAGCTGCCAGTGATTTTGAAACACATGTGGTGTTGCAAGTGTTGGTACAGTTTTGATGGAGTAGATACAACATGATAGGTATTGTTGAGATATCGAGTTGTAAATTACCTACATGAAGCGAGTCTTGACAAAAACCCTGATTTTGTCAAATTCCATAGATTTCCTAAAACTTCGATACTGGATACTGATCAACGACAAAGTCAAGCCAGCCTCTAACCTCGAAACATATTCCATTTGGCATGGAAGACAAGCTATCTAACCTCAAAACATATTCCATTTAGCGTAAAAAAACAAGCTAGCCTCTAACCTCGGAACATATTCCATTTGGCGTAAAAGATAAGCTAGCCTCTAACCTCGGAACATTATCCATTTGGCATGGAAGACAAGCTAGCTTCTAACCTCGGAACATATGCCATTTGGTGTAAAGGGCAAGTCAGCCTCTAACCTCAGAACACATTCCATTTGGTGTAAACGACAGATATTGGTAAGATGATCTGAACGGTACGCTGAATCACAAGACCAGAGCATTACAGTGCTAACTTCGAGCTGCACCCCCAGGCTGTGGTACGTCAGTCTGCATGTCAACACAACAATATGTTCTGAATAACATCATGGCAGAATGTCGACATGGTGATATTTGAAACGGCAGCTGGACATGACGGGTTTTCACTGTATACGATGTTGAGATCGTCTCTGATGACTAATGCCTGTGTTTCTCAAGGCTAGTCAAATGAGTAATGCCTGTGCTCTTCAAGTCTAGTCAAATGAATAATGTCTGTTCTCTTCATGGTTGGTCAAATGAATAATGCCTGTGCTTCTCAAGTCTAGTCAAATGAATAATGCCTGTGCTTCAAAGCTAGTCAAAGGCTAGTCAAATGAATAATGCCTGTGCTTCTCAAAGCTAGTCAAATGAGTAATGCTTGTGCTCTTCAAGTCTAGTCAAATGAATAATGTCTGTGCTAATAATGTCCTCTTCAAGGCTAGTCAAATGAATAATGTCTGTGCTTCTCAAGGCTAGTCAAATGAATAAGTCAAATCTTCAAGGCTAGTCAAATGAATAAATGCTTCTCAAAATAGTCAAATGAATAATGTGTGCTCTTCAAGTCTAGTCAAATGAATAATGTCTGTTCTTCTCAAGTAGTCAATGAATAATGCCTGTGCTTCTCAAGTCTAGTCAAATGAATAATGCCTGTGCTTCTCAAGGCTAGTCAGATGAATAATGTCTGCGCTCTTCTCAAATGAATAATGTCTGTGCTTCTCTCGAATCGAAATGAATAATTAGTCAAATGAATAATGCCTGTGCTTTCAAGGCTAGTCAAATGAATAATGTCTGCCTGTGCTTCTCTAAATGAATAGTGCCTGTGCTTTATAAGGCTAGTCAAATGAATAATGCCTGTGCTTCTCAAGTCTAGTCAAATGAATAATGTCTGTAATGTCTGTGCTTCTCAAGGCTAGTCAAATGAATAATGCCTGTGCTTCTCAAGGCTAGTCAAATGAATAATGTCTGTGCTTCTCAAGTCTAGTCAAATGAATAATGCCTGTGCTTCTCAAGGCTAGTCAAATGAATAATGTCTGTGCTTCTCAAGGCTAGTCAAATGCAAAATGTCTGTTCTCTTCAAGGCTAGTCAAATGAATAATGCCTGTGCTTCTCAAGGCTAGTCAAATGAATAATGCCTGTGCTTCTCAAGGCTAGTCAAACGAATAATGTCTGTGCTTCTCAAGTCTAGTCAAATGAATAATGTCTGTGCTTCTCAAGGTTAGTCAAATGAATAATGTCTGTCCTCTTCAAGTCTAGTCAAATGAATAATGTCTGTGCATCTCAAGTCTAGTCAAATGAATAATGCCTGTGGTTCTCAAGGCTAGTTAAATGAATAATGCCTGTGCTTCTCAAGGCTAGTCAGATGAATAATGCCTGAGTTTTGAGGTTAATTCAACATTTTAGAAATGATGTATATTTATTGTTGATGAACCTGACTAAAGACAAGCAATATTTGTGGTTCAATGCTGGTGGCATCGTAGATAGAAAATCTCAATACAACAAACGTCCTGATTGAAACTGCCTGGATGTATGTTTATGGCTGATTCAAGTGCATTTGGGCACAACCATCACCTAAGATTGGAGTTGATTACGACAGCACCAGTTTGTGTTCTGAAGCCATAAAACAGATACCACGCCGGGTAGATCAAGAAAAGCGGTTCAATTTTTAAAGTTTGCCTTTCTTCGTTTGTGCCTTTTACCGCTAATTACCTACTACATGCACACACATACATATACACACATACACACCCTCTCTCTCTTACACACACGTGCACTCACGCGCGCACGCAAACACGCACGCACGCACACAGACAGACTCATACATATACATCTAACAAAGAACACGAAGGCATTATACCGTACCAACACATGTTGGGAGCGCAAAACACGGCCAGCGGTCACAGTCAGCTACCAGGCGGCACTTGCCTGCTGTACAGTTCACATTTAGCTGCGTACAGAGAAAGATTATGATGAAATATTTACTGGTAAGGGAAATATGATCAGTAATATCCTTGTGTGATATCTCATCAATGGTTTTCTTGAAAGTGATATGGTATCAGTTTGTGACCAATGTACTTACACCAGGTTCACACGGATCCACTGGTCCTGGTTCTCTTGTTGGACGTGGTGTTGGCACTGGTGTTGGATCTATAGATGGCACTGGAAGACGAAACAAAATTGCATTCATTGTCATATATTTGTCGCCTGAAATTAATCTAAATTGTTGGTTATTGTTGAGCAAAAATATACCTGGAAATTTCAATAATCAGTTTTGAAATAAAATCGAGCTACTAAGTGTCTATTTCTGTCAAATTTGAACTAAGGAGTAGAAATAAACTAGCTGTGCACCTTGTATGTTTATACCCAAACATTCGATATCTAATGTATGACGACAAACGCAACTGCCCTGATGGTGACACGGGACACACATTCTACTTGTGTCTCCAGATATTGACAAGGGGCACACATTCTACTTGTGTCTCCAGATAATGACACGGGGCACACATTCTACTTGTGTCTCCAGATAATGACACGGGACACACATTCTGCTTGTGTCTCCAGATAATGACACGGGACACACATTCAACTTGTTTCTCCAGATATTAACAAATGACACACATTCTACTTGTTTCTCCAGATAATGACACGGGGCACACATTCTACTTGTGTCTCAAGATAATGACAGGTTTTTAAATGTAGCGCAAGCAGCACCAACTTGTATGGTTTATGGAGAATGTGGTAGATATCCGATATGTATAAATTCACAAATCAGATGTTTAAAATATTGGTTAAAGATCCTTGGAATGCACGAACAAAGAATCCCCAAACTAGCTTATAACATGCATGTACATTTAGATGATAGGGGTAAGACAACATGGGCGTCTCATATTAGAACTCTTTTATTTTCTCATGGCTTTGGATTTGTGTGGCTAAATCAAACAGTTGGTAATATCAATCTATTTCTTAAGCAATTTCGAGAACAATCTGTTAGCATGTATTATCAAGAATGGCATTCCTGTCTAGACAATAGTTCAAGATACCAGTTGTACAGATCACATAAGAGCTTAATTCAACCAGAACTATTTATATCTGTATTGATATCTAGAAATATCAGACGCACACTTGTCAATTTTCGATTGGGCTTGTTAGACTTATCAGTAAATAAGGGCAGACGATTTTCAATAGAGAGACGTTTAAGGATATGTCCATTATGTAACTCGGCTATAGAAGATGAAATTCACTTCGCTTTTGTATGCCAACATTATGCTGATTTAAGAAAAAAATATATCCCAAATAATTACCTGTTAAAATATCCTACATCTGCCTTTGCTTCCATTCTATCTTCCAAAAATGAAAACGTAATACGTAATCTTGCGCTTTATGTAAAACATGCCGTTTTCCTTAGAAGCAATATCTTATCTGAACTGCAATTTCTTTGTGAAATGTCTGTAGTATGTGCTGTATATATACTTGTATTACTTGTATATGGGCCGGAGGCCTTAAGTACAATAAATATCTTTGACTTGACTTTGAAACGGGACACACATTCTACTTGTGTTTCCAGATAATGACATGGGACACACATTCTACTTGTGTCTCCAGATAATGGCACGGGATACGCATTCTACTTGTGTCTCCAGATAATGACACGGGGCACACATTCTACTTGTTTCTCCAGAAAATGACATGAGGCACACATACTACTTGTTTCTCCAGATAATGGCACGGGGCACACTTTCTACTTGTGACTCCAGATAATGACACGGGGCACACATTCTACTTGTGTCTCCAGATAATGGCACGGGGCACACATTCAACTTGTGTCTCGAGATAATGACACGGGACACACACATTCTACTTGTGTCTCCAGATAATGACATGTGGCACACATTCTACTTGTGTCTCCAGATAATGATAGTGGATAGTGTAAAACTCGTTTTAGTAACATCCGGTATTTCACCTGTACGTACCCATGGTGACTGGGCCAGGTGGGCTGTAGCAACAGACTGCTGGTGATCCTGACGGGGCGGCAACACACGCTGTATTGAAGGGACATGGATATCCTCCCACACACGAGATTTCCTGTAAGTCGGGGTGCAGTGCAGAGTCCCCCTATCGGGCAGTTCAGTGACGGTTTTGGGGAGGGATCTGTAACAACAAGGATTTGTAACAACATGAACGTGAACCTCAAACCAAACATCACCTGTCATTTAAATGAGAATAGGAAGACCTTTCTATCATCGGCTGCATGGTTGGGTCGAACAGAGCCGAGAAACAATCAGTTGACAAAATAACAACGTTCCAATGTCATGCTATGTACGTTATTACCCTGTCCCTAATTAGACAAAGAATGCAGGTATATGTCTTGGCATTGTTTGCACTGGAACTACAAAGCGTAAACAAAGATGACATGAGTACCCGGGCACGATGAGGACGAAGTTCGGTCCTAGTGCACTTCTCATGTTTCTACTTTGTTTACATTCTCCAGTGATCACATTACAGACAACTCCTGTCCAACTCAAACTTGCCTGTCTGTGGTTTCGGGTCTGTGATACGAATGTGAATTGCGCACAGTGGAAAAATGTCCTGTAGAAACACAGTTGAAACAATCCAATCACTGGCTTTCTGTGGGTCGTTTCTCCGGTTGTAGTCCATAACAAGGTTATGACGTTCGACGTCAACCAGGAGAGCCCCGTGTTCCCGCTATGTGATGGATGCTGGCGGCGACCTGCATGTCTACTATCCATTTCAAAGCTTACTGATCACACTTTGACATAAGACACGTTTGCAACGTGAAATTACGCCGGTCCAGTTTAAGCATTGATGTGCATCAGCCTAAAAATCTTCTGTCGTCGTAAACGACGTCCTAGACTCTGAGGTAGCCTTTGAACATTTAAGTCTATAGCTACAATTGATACTGTGCTCGCAAAGATTCCGTCATGATACATTCTTTCATAGGAGCACGTCTTCCGTACAACATGAAACTCAGGTCTTGTGTGATCTACACAGTTCCTGTGTACACAGATATTTCAGTATTTATTTGTTTGATGATTGCTTTGCTATGGTCATTTTAGGTCCTAATTTATTATTGTCAAACTACACCAACTCCAATTTCGTTTCTGATCAACAAAATGATTAGCACTCTCTCCATCCCCACCCCCCACCCACCCCGCCCCCAAACAAATACATACCGACACACGTGGGAACAGCAGGGCACCCACGGATCCTGCAGCTCACCACCAGCCTACAGACACCTCTCGTGCAGTTGACATTTACCTGCAGACAACAGTTGGAGAGAGACGAGTAAGGTATCGTTTGTGGTGTGTCATAGTGAACTTTCTGTTGTGTTATATTTTGAAATCATTCGAGACTTACGCATACTTAAAGTCAATGCAACGTGCTATATGCTACTTGAGACGCCCAAACAGTTGCAAGTCGTCCACTCACGGAGGAGTATATGAGCAGTATTAACCAACATCAAATGCATCAGTACAGACAGCTCAATCCCTCAAACTGCAGCTTACTTTTACAGGATATATATGAAGGGTATGATTCGATGTGCTGTTTTACACAGTATATATGTTAGTTGTTTTGTGACAGGTATTGGTCGATGTCTCGTTTTAGAATGTAAGTAATCACGCCGGTATTCGGAGTGATCCTGTTATAACACAACATTACATGAGTCAGTTAAACATGAAGCTAACACAAAGACTCACCCCTGGTTCGCAAGGATCGACTATGGATGATGGTGTTGTCGGCGGTTCTCGTGTTACTGGTGTGGGAGTTGTTTGGGCTGAAGAAAATAGCTGACATGTTGCAACGGTATCTTTCAGAAGCCCCAAGGTATCATAGTACCCCAGACTTAGCAACCTGTGTATGTCCTATGTCTCCCAGCAGGACAACGGCGCAGGTATCCCAGTATCCCAGACTTAGCAGCCTGTGTATGTCCCATGTCTCCCAGCAGGACAACGGCGCAGGTATCCCAGTATCCCAAACTTAGCAACCTGTGTATGTCCCATGTCTCCCAGCAGGACAAAGGCGCAGGTATCCCAGTATCCGAGACTTAGCAACCTGTGTATGTCCCATGTCTCCCAGCAGGACAAAGGCGCAGGTATCCCAGTATCCCAGACTTAGCAACCTGTGTATGTCCCATGTCTCCCAGCAGGACAACGGCGCAGGTATCCCAGTATCCCAGACTTAGCAACCTGTGTATGTCCCATGTCTCCCAGCAGGACAACGGCGCAGGTATCCCAGTATCCCAGACTTAGCAACCTGTGTATGTCCCATGTCTCCCAGCAGGACAACGGCGCAGGTATCCCAGTATCCCAAACTTAGCAACCTGTGTATGTCCCATGTCTCCCAGCAGGACAAAGGCGCAGGTATCCCAGTATCCCAGACTTAGCAACCTGTGTATGTCCCATGTCTCCCAGCAGGACAACGGCGCAGGTATCCCAGTATCCCAGACTTAGCAACCTGTGTATGTCCCATGTCTCCCAGCGGGACAACGGCGCAGGTATCCCAGTATCCCAGACTTAGCAACCTGTGTATGTCCCATGTTTCCCCTGCAGGACAACGGCGCAGGTATCCCAGTATCCCAAACTTAGCAACCTGTGTATGTCCCATGTCTCCCAGCAGGACAACGGCGCAGGTATCCCAGTATCCCAGACTTAGCAACCTGTGTATGTCCCATGTCTCCCAGCAGGACAACGGCGCAGGTATCCCAGTATCCCAGACTTAGCAACCTGTGTATGTCCCATGTCTCCCAGCAGGACAACGGCGCAGGTATCCCAGTATCCCAAACTTAGCAACCTGTGTATGTCCCATGTCTCCCAGCAGGACAAAGGCGCAGGTATCCCAGTATCCCAAACTTAGCAACCTGTGTATGTCCCATGTCTCCCAGCAGGACAACGGCGCAGGTATCCCAGTATCCCAGACTTAGCAACCTGTGTATGTCCCATGTCTCCCAGCAGGACAACGGCGCAGGTATCCCAGTATCCCAGACTTAGCAACCTGTGTATGTCCCATGTCTCCCAGCAGGACAACGGCGCAGGTATCCCAGTATCCCAGACTTAGCAACCTGTGTATGTCCCATGTCTCCCAGCAGGACAACGGCGCAGGAATCCCAGTATCCCAGACTTAGCAACCTGTGTATGTCCCATGTCTCCCAGCAGGACAACGGCGCAGGTATCCCAGTATCCCAGACTTAGCAACCTGTGTATGTCCCATGTCTCCCAGCAGGACAAAGGCGCAGGTATCCCAGTATCCCAGACTTAGCAACCTGTGTATGTCCCATGTCTCCCAGTCGGACAAAGGCGCAGGATAAACACGTTATCATCATTATTATTGATATACGTTGTCACGTAGACACTACTTGCATGGCGCCGTCCTTGCCAATCAGCCATGGAATCAGAATCAACCGTGGGGAATCAAAAGACAGTGCAGGGGTAATTGTTGTCATTTTCTAAACAATATAATATATAACACAACGACATTTCACAACGTGTAGGCAATATAGCTGTTACCTTCAGGCGTGAAACAGCAGACAGCAGGGACCCCTGACGAATGAGTGACACACACAGTGTTGATGGGACAGGAACCCCCTCCTGCACAAGATATTTCATTGCCGTAGGAATTCAGAGCAGGCTTGCCAATGGGACATTGTAGAGATGGTATGGGGGAAGGGTCTGTGAACAGAGAAAGAGGGAAATATGATTGCAGTATTGATATAACATACACCCTAGCAGTTCAAAAACATTTCAAATTCTGTTAATATAAGGATCCCTAAGAAGACTGTAATTAGGTGATGACCGGTCTGTTGAAAACTGAATTGTTTCCATGACAACTTAGTAGAAGCCCGACGACCAGCATCCAGTCCTTGGGGTCTAAGTAGGGTAATGCAAACACATGCAGTTGATCCATGGGCACGTGCATATGTCCACCTTATCAAAGACCTACCAACACACGTGCATATGTCCACCTTATCAAAGACCTACCAACACACGTGCATATGTCCACCTTATCAAAGACCTACCAACACACGTGCATATGTCCACCTTATCAAAGACCTACCAACACACGTGCATATGTCCACCTTATCAAAGACCCACCAACACGCGTGCATATGTCCACCTTATCAAAGACCTACCAACACACGTGCATATGTCCACCTTATCAAAGACCTACCAACACACGTGCATATGCCCACCTTATCAAAGACCTACCAACACACGTGGGGACGGCAGGACATCCTTGAATGTTGCAGTCTGCCACCAGCCTACATTCGCCGTGTGTGCAGTTGACGTATTTCTGGAAGGAAATGACACGTGAGTCACGTGAGTCATGTGGTTGACATTCTCATTTACGTACATAACACACGTACAAGTGATGATTACATTTGTCCAAGGCATTCAGAGAAATAGGTGAGGTGAAGTGAAATTGGGTTTTACGTCGTGCTTGAGAATATTTCGCTCATATGGCGACGTGCATGCAAGTGTATGTGTATGTGCGGTTGCTTGTACTAGCCCAGACTGAAGCTGGTTTTATAGTGCCAGCCCACTGAGATACCATGCCGCAGTGAAGCATGAATACCCCACCCAGACACATTATACTCCGAGCCGACCAGTCCTTGTTGTACCCATTAATGCCGAGCGCCAGGCAGGGACCAACAAGTACCATATTTTAACGTCTTTTGGTATGACGCGGTCGGGGATCGAGCCCGTGACATTCCGCTCTCCATTTACAGAAATATATAGAGAGAGAGGGTTAGAAAAAGGGTGGGTTGACAAAATATATGACAAGGGACTCACACCAGGGAAGCATGGATCTAGAGGATTTGGATCTGTCGGTGATGGTCCTTTGGAGAAGAAACAGAGACAAAACATATAATATTGCAGAGTGAATTTGAATCCGTCATAATGACAATAATCAGTGATAGAGTGGTCCTTTAAATTGAATCAAAACAATTCCAGATTTGTATTAAAATGTTTCCCAAACAATACCTATTATGCTCTAGGCGCGTAGAAATGCCCATGCGGCGTGGAATTCAGTGCCATTGGATTTAATGATATATCGTCATTTATATTATTAAAAACGTGTTTCTAAGTGTTTCTTTCAGTCAACTATAGTGACATGACTAACTCCTATATGTAATATATAGTAGGTAAACTAAACTTGATGTAAGCATATATAAGCACGATAGTGGCATCAGTATTGAACAGCGCAGGAAGAAGAGGACTACATGCAAGCTCTGGGGTGGTCTTTACGCTTCACATTACTCCCAAACACGTAACATATGTTACATTGGGGATTACACTATCTCAGTAAAGTACAGATTGTAGTACATGTATTGCCTAATTCCAATCTCGGATTCGAACCCACACCCTCTGAGTGAGGCCAGCTACACGAAGTCTGGTAGACTAGATCTGTCTGACAATAAGAATGCGCAAAGCCTTTTTGCAAAGTGTTTAAATGTAAAGGTGTCAAACACAAAGAGCATGACAATCCACAGGGACTGAAGGTCACGCCAGTAAACATAACGAGGCGAGTGGCCACCTGGCGGTGATGGTGGAGCAGGAGGTGCAGGAGGTGCAGGAGGTGCTGGTGGTGCAGGAGGTGCAGGGGTCCTCCTGAAGGTCTAAAACAACACACTCCTGGCCTTGCTGGGGGCCTCGGACACAGGCCGTGGTCACTGGACACGAACCATCGGGCGCACAGGAGATTTCCTGATGGTTGGTATCGATGACAGGCTTTCCAATTGGACACATAATGGTTGGCCGCGGTGAAGGATCTGTTGGAGATTACACAGGACAATTATATCTATGTAGCATGATAAAGCCATAAATATCTATGAAATCACGTCCTACGCATATACTGTGGTAAGGACTCGTTTCTTCCTGGTAAACTGTTCTTTCGCTATTAAAAATGAAATAGATAGACTTAACGGCACTGGAGTAAATACAAAACAAATGTATATCTCCTTACCGACACATTCTGGACGCACTCCACAAGCCTGTTGTCTGCAGCCGAAGACTAACCGGCATTCTCCAGCTGTACAGTTCACATTTAACTGGAACAAAGACAGAAACAGTCGTGAAACAGTCGTGAAACAGTTGTGGTTCTATTGGTGTTGTCCATGTCTGAACATGATTCAAGTTTGTTCTTGTTGTAAAACAAACACTGAACATACATTTAATCGTACTCGTCTGTTACTCCGCATTATGACATTTAATGTCAACAAACCCACAATATGTCGATACCGTCAATGTTTTAGGGAATGCTATTGTTAACCACGCAGGGTACTGTTTACATACAATAAATGAATTTATACATAAACCTAATCATGAAAAGTCTCAGAAGACCATTGAGATTGTGGAAAATGATGTATTTCATGATAATTTTGGAAAGCCTCCCCAGATCATGATCCTCTGTCACATGACCTGTTTTCGGATCAGCTCACATTTCTTCACCTGTTTGCTCTTAGGGATAATGGCCAATGGGATAGTAAATGAACTGAAACGAGACCTCAGTGTTGAAGGTGGACAGTCCTGAATACATCACACATGAACCAGTTCCTCAGTACTGGTCCAGATATAAAGATAAAGGATAGGTCCCAAAATGACATTCTCCATTCCTCACAGACACAGAAAAGTAACAACTGAAAACTGAAAGACTGGTATGAGTGAGGACGGTTATGGCAAATGTCAGGTGAAAGCCACTGAGATACCACACAGTCCATTATAGCGACTACATCCACAGAGATACCACACTGTCCATGAAAGTGACTGTAGCCACAGAGATACCACATTCCATGAAAGCGACTACATCCACTGAGATACCACACTGTCCATGAAAGCGACTACATCCACTGAGATACCACACTGCCCATGAAAGTGACTGTAGCCACAGAGATACCACATTCCATGAAAGCGACTACATCCACTGAGATACCACACTGTCCATGAAAGCGACTACATCCACTGAGATACCACACTGCCCATGAAAGAGACTGTAGGCACAGAGATACCACATTCCATGAAAGCGACTACATCCACTGAGATACCACACTGTCCATGAAAGCGACTACATCCACTGAGATACCACACTGCCCATGAAAGTGACTGTAGCCACAGAGATACCACATTCCATGAAAGCGACTACATCCACTGAGATACCACACTGTCCATGAAAGCGACTACATCCACTGAGATACCACACTGTCCATGAAAGCGACTGTAGCCACAGAGATACCACATTCCATGAAAGCGACTACATCCACTGAGATACCACACTGTCCATGAAAGCGACTACATCCACTGAGATACCACACTGTCCATGAAAGCGACTAGCCACAGAGATACCACACTGTCCATAAAAACGACTGTAGCCACAGAGATACGACACAGTCCATGAAAGCGACTACATCCACTGAGATACCACACTGTCCATGAAAGCGACTACATCCACTGAGATACCACACTGCCCATGAAAGTGACTGTAGCCACAGAGATACCACATTCCATGAAAGCGACTACATCCACTGAGATACCACACTGTCCATGAAAGCGACTACATCCACTGAGATACCACACTGCCCATGAAAGTGACTGTAGCCACAGAGATACCACATTCCATGAAAGCGACTACATCCACTGAGATACCACACTGTCCATGAAAGCGACTACATCCACTGAGATACCACACTGTCCATGAAAGCGACTGTAGCCACAGAGATACCACATTCCATGAAAGCGACTACATCCACTGAGATACCACACTGTCCATGAAAGCGACTACATCCACTGAGATACCACACTGTCCATGAAAGTGACTGTAGCCACAGAGATACCACGTTCCATGAAAGCGACTACATCCACTGAGATACCACACTGCCCATGAAAGTGACTGTAGCCACAGAGATACCACACTTCCATGAAAGCGACTACATCCACTGAGATACCACACTGTCCATGAAAGCGACTACATCCACTGAGATACCACACTGTCCATGAAAGCGACTAGCCACAGATATACCACATGGTCCATAAAAACGACTGTAGCCACAGAGATACGACACAGTCCATGAAAGCGACTACATCCACAGAGATACCATATGGTCCATGAACGCGACTACATCCACGGAGGTACCACACGGTCGATGAAAGCGACTACATCCAATGAGATACCACACTGTCCATGAAAGCGACTACATCCACAGAGATACCATATGGTCCATGAAAGCGACTACATCCACGGAGGTACCACACGGTCGATGAAAGCGACTACATCCAATGAGATACCACACTGTCCATGAAAGCGACTAGCCACAGAGATACCACATGGTCCATAAAAACGACTGTAGACACACAGATACCACACTGTCCATGAAAGCGACTGTAGCCACAGAGATACCACACTGTCCATGAAAGCGACTACATCCAATGAGATACCACACTGTCCATGAAAGCGATTGTAGCCACAGAGATGCCATATGGTCCATGAAAGCGACTACATCCACGGATATACCACATGGTCCATCAAAGCGACTACATCCAATGAGATACCACAGTGTCCATGAAAACGACTGTAGCCACGAAGATACCACATGATCCATGAAAACGACTTCATCCACGGAGGTATCACACGGTCGCTGAAAGTGAATGGAGCCAAAGATAAACCACATGGTCCATGAAAGCGACTACATCCAATGAGATACCACACTGTCCATGAAAGTGACTGTAGCCACAGAGATACCACATGGTCTATGAAAGCAACTGTAGCTACAAAGATATCATACGGTCCATGAAACCTACTATATACACAGATATATCACACAGTCCATGAAAGCGACCTTATCCGCAGAGTTACTACATTGTCCATGAAAGCGACTGTAGCCATAGAGATACCACACAGTCCATGAAAACGACTGTAGCCACAGAAATAGTACACTGTTCATGAAAGCGACTGTAGCCACAGAGGTACCACACTGTCCATGACAGCGACTGCAGCAACAGAGATATCATATGGTCCATGAATGCGACTACATCCACAGAGATACCGCATGGTCCATGAAAGTGACTGTAGCCACAGATATGCCACATAGTCCATGAAAGCGACTACATCCAATGAGATACCACACTGTCCATGAAAGCGACTACATCCACAGAGATACCATATGGTCCATGAAAGCGACTACATCCACGGAGGTACCACACGGTCGATGAAAGCGACTACATCCAATGAGATACCACACTGTCCATGAAAGCGACTAGCCACAGAGATACCGCATGGTCCATGAAAGTGACTGTAGCCACAGATATGCCACATAGTCCATGAAAGCGATTACATCCACAGAGATACCACACGGTCCATGAAAGCCACTTTATCCACAGAGATACCACACTGTTCATGAAAGGGACTGTAGACAAAGAGATACCAGATGATCCATGTAAGCGCCTGTATCTTTCATGGCATATCACACGATCTATGAAAGCGTTTCTATCCACAAGATTACCACAAGGTGTGTGCCAGAAACACATATACTGTAACTCTCGATTTACAAGGCTGCGCAGTTCTAGATATACTTGCCTCAATCAGACATTTGTGTTCAGAGATCCTACTGTTGAAGCACTTACCCCTGGTGTGCACGGATATTCCTCCACAGTATGGCCATCTGAAGGATACACACATATATCAGAACTAACGGTCAGCGGATACTGATGTAGCGAGGCTGATAGAGACCACGTATTTTAAAAGCTCGAAAGTTCAAACCCCAATATCTCGAAAACTCGAAGTTGAATCAATCAAAGGACAGGACAGAAAAACAGTCTCAATGTCCATGTTTTTATAGTTTCACTTTACAACTACTGTCACTCTATTGAAACTATGCGATGCTTAAAGAAAGCTGTAATGAATGTTACAATATTGTAATGGAAGCAGGTAAATGGTTCTCAGATATACGTTCGAACTGTATGGGACAATCACATGCACACATCAACCGATCACACTTGAAGACCCGGGTAGATTTGGTCTTGGTGGTAACAGGCGACTGACGAGATCGGGTGGCTGGTTGATGCACATCATTGTATCTCAATCGATGTTCCTTATGTCATTCACTGGATTGTCTGGTCTGGACCCCGAGACAGTATAATACCCAGTGCGGCGGTACACCAAACACATACAACAACCAAACAGAGCTTTACTTACAGGTGACAGAGAATCCGGCAGCTATACACAGGACCTTTTGAAATGTGGCAAATAAAACAAAATATACAGTCAGACACGCTTCATCGAATTAAATTATGGTATTCGTTGATAGTCGTTTCACATATATAAATGTGTGTGTGTGTGTGTGTGTGCGTGCGCGAAGGGCCAAATTCGATGTGCTGTTTCACACAGTATATATTTTAGTTGTATTGCGACAGGTTTTGGTCATGTATATATATATATATATATATATATATATGATTTTCATATCCAAGTAATTTTGAAAGAACAAACATCGGTTACATGGGAGTCAATACGTTAAGCATCAGAGTAACGAGGTACATACCCAGAGGACACTCTCCATGACTTTCGGTGTAAAATCCGCACTGATTCAGCCCGGGAATGGCTTAAATACCAGCTGGGAAGCCCTTAATCTGCCAGCGTGTGGCAAGTGTCATTCTAACGGCACTTCAAGCAAACCCTTTTAATTTATTTACCATATGTCAGCTGGGTCAATTTTCCAACAAATGTATAGGATTTATCTCAAGGAATGAATACATAACTGTGGAATAGGTCGAGGGACTGACGGGGGTTAAGACATGAACTTGTCAATGGGTGAAGGCATAATTAGGCCATGACAAGGAAAACGGCCCTCAAGTTGTCACAGAAGTATGGGGCCTTCCCTGGGAACAGGGAACAGTATATCTTATATACAGTTGCCTCCATCAAAGAGTGAGAGGGTGAGTTTAGTTACAGCAATATTCCAGCAATTTCACGGCGGGGGATACCAGAAATGGGCATCACACATTGTGCCCATGTTTGCAATCGAACCCGGGGCTTCAGCGTGATGTGCGAACGCTTTAACCACTAGGCTACCCCACCGCCCCCTCATCCAAGAGTAGACCTGGAGAGTGTAATAACAACCGCATCACAGAAAATGTATCTGGCGTGGACAGCAACACCGCATTGCACAGTGGACAGTAACATGGATTGTCGAGTAACACACACATCGAAGAGTTGACGTGAAGTGGATAGAAACGACCACAACAAGAGGAACTCTGGATTGGCTTGTTACACCCACACCAAGAGGAGCTTTAGATTGTCTTGTAACACCCACACCAAGAGGAACTTTAGATTGTCTTGTTACACCCACACCAAGAGGAACTCTGGATCGGCTTGTTACACCCACACAAAGAGGAACTCTGGATTGGCTTGTTACAACCACACCAACAGGTACTTTAGATTGTCTTGTAACACCCACACCAAGAGGAACTCTGGATCGGCTTGTTACAACCTCACCAAGAGGAGCTTTAGATTGTCTTGTAACACCCACACCAAGAGGAACTCTGGATTGGCTTGTTACAACCACACCAAGAGGAACTTTAGATTGTCTTGTAACACCCACACCAAGAGGAACTCTCGATCGGCTTGTTACAACCACACCAAGAGGAACTTTAGATTCTCTTGTAACACCCACACCAAGAGGAGCTTTAGATTGTCTTGTAACGCCCACACCAAAAGGAACTCTGGATCGGCTTGTTACACCCACACCAAGAGGAACTTTAGATTCTCTTGTAACACCCACACCAAGAGGAACTTTAGATTGTCTTGTAACACCCACACCAAGAGGAACTCTGGATCGGCTTGTTACAACCACACCAAGAGGAACTTTAGATTGTCTTGTAACACCCGCACCAAGAGGAACTCTGGATCGGCTTGTTACAACCACACCAAGAGGAACTTTAGATTCTCTTGTAACACCCACACCAAGAGGAACTCTCGATCGGCTTGTTACAACCACACCAAGAGGAACTCTGGATTGGCTTGTCACACCCATACCAAGAGGAACTTTAGATTGGCTTGTTACAACCACACCAAGAGGAACTTTAGATTGTCTTGTAACACCCACACCAAGAGGAACATTGCATTGTCTTGTTACACCCAGCCACGCCAAGAGGAGTTCTGGATTCGCTTGTTACACCCACACCAAGAGGAACTCTAGATTGTCTTGTAACACCCACACCAAGAGGAACTCTGGATCGGCTTGTTACAACCTCACCAAGAGGAACTTTAGATTGTCTAGTAACACCCACACCAAGAGGAACTCTGGATCGGCTTGTTACAACCACACCAAGAGGAACTTTAGATTCTCTTGTAACACCCACACCAAGAGGAACTTTAGATTGTCTTGTAACGCCCACACCAAGAGGAACTTTAGATTGTCTAGTAACACCCACACCAAGAGGAACTCTGGATCGGCTTGTTACAACCACACCAAGAGGAACTTTAGATTCTCTTGTAACACCCACACCAAGAGGAACTTTAGATTGTCTAGTAACACCCACACCAAGAGGAACTCTGGATCGGCTTGTTACAACCACACCAAGAGGAACTTTAGATTCTCTTGTAACACCCACACCAAGAGGAACTTTAGATTGTCTTGTAACGCCCACACCAAGAGGAACTCTGGATTGGCTTGTTACACCCACACCAAGAGGAACTTTAGTTTGTCTTGTAACACCCACACCAAGAGAGACTTTAGATTGTCTAGTAACACCCACACCAAGAGGAACTCTGGATTGGCTTGATACACCCACACCAAGAGGAACTTTAGATTGTCTTGTAACGTTCACACCAAGAGGATCTCTGGATTGGCTTGTTACACCCACCCACACTAAGAGGAACTCTGGATTGTCTAGTAACACCCACACCAAGAGGGACTTTAGGTTGTCTAGTAACACCCACACCAAGAGGAACTTTAGATTGTTTCGTAACACCCACACTAAGAGGAACTCTGGATTGGCTTTTCACAACCACACCAAGAGGAACTCTAGATTGGCTTGCTACACCCACACCAAGAGGAGCTTTAGATTGCCTTGTTACAACCACACCAAGAGGAACTTTAGATTGTCTTGTAACACCCACACCAAGACGAGCTTTAGATTGTCTTGTAACACCCACATCAAGAGGAACTCTGGAATATCTTGTTACACCAACACCAAGAGGAACTTTAGATTGTCTTGTCACACCCATACTAAGAGGAACTCTAGATTGGCTTGTTACAACCACACCAAGAGGAACTTTAGATTGTCTTGTAACACCCACACCAAGAGGAACATTGCATTGTCTTGTTACACCCAGCCACGCCAAGAGGAGTTCTGGATTCGCTTGTTACACCCACACCAAGAGGAACTCTAGATTGTCTTGTAACACCCACACCAAGAGGAACTCTGTTGGCTTGTTACACCAACACCATGAGGAACTTTCGATTATCTTGTTAGACCCACACTTAGAGGAACTTTAGATTGTCTTGTTACAACCACACCAAGAAGAACTCTGGAGTGGCTTGTAACACCCACACCAAGAGGAACTCTAGATTGGCTTCTTACATCCTCCCACACAAAGGGGAACTTTAGATTGCCTTGTTACACCCACACCAAGAGGAACTCTAGATTGGCTTGTAACACCCACACCAAGAGGAACTTTAGATTGTCTTGTAACACCCACACCAAGAGGAACTTTAGATTGTCTTGTAACACCGACAACAAGAAGAACTTTAGATTGTCTTGTTACACCCACACCAAGAGGAACTTTAGTTTGTCTTGTAACACCCACACCAAGAAGAACATTGCATTGTCTTGTTACACCCACACCAAGAAGAACATTGCATTGTCTTGTTACACCCACACCAAGAGGATCTCTTGATTGGCTTGTTACACCCACCAACACCAAGAGGAACTTTAGATTCTCTTGTAACACCCACACCAAGGGGAACTCTGGATTGCCTTGTAACACCCACACCAAGAGGAACATTGCATTGTCTTGTTACACCCATCCACGCCAAGAGGAACTCTAGATTGGCTTGTTACACCCACACCACAGATTTGAGCGAGCGTCGCTTTGAGGTTTGGAACTTTTGCACACTTCATCTCGTTATGCACGTTATAAGAACTCCCGCTAGACAGGGGTTACAATTACAGAGTCAGCACAATTCCTGGGTTGGATGTAAACTGTCAAGCGAGAGAAGGTACACGCCCATATGTGATGGTGGCTTCAATGAAACAAACTATAAATGTTTATGTCACAGGTGGAAATGAGTTTTTGGCATTAACCTTTCTAACACACTGGAGGTTTTGCCTAAAAGCCCACTTTATTTAAAAATAATCATAAATTATAATGATAAGGAGACCAGAGACTTCGTCATTTTCAGAAACTGTGGAAATCTAGACTTGCCACATATTCTAGAGTTGCATGGGTTTTAGGGTCTGTAATACGGATTAATCCAGTACCTGTTATGTTATAGAGGCATCTGACCTGACTGTCGCCTATAGACACTGCATGGGACCCAGCACACACCGTGTCGGGTAACTACAACGTGTCGTTTCACAGGTAAGTTGACTAAATGCTTAGTTGCATGATACATTTGGAAGTATTATTAAATTTCATCGTGCAATAGTTTGTTTGTTTTCTCCGAAGTATGAATTATTATCAAAGATTATTCAAAACTCTATTTTGTATTGAAATGTTTTGTGGAAACATGCAGCAAAACTTTGTTTGCATTGTTTCATATGGAAAGTAAGTTTCCATAATATATTTTGATTTAATAATTGGTTAACAATCTACATGTCCTGTGTGAAGACATAATATTTGGAAGAATAATAACATGTGTTATAATCCCCATTTTAAAAAACCCAAATGACATCAGCCAGAGTTTAGTTTATGATGGGAAGTTTGGTTTTGGATACTGTTTCAGGTTCAAGCGGTTTCAAGTGAATATTGTGTTCGGTTTTGTGTCAGCGAATATTAAATATTGTTTTGTCATGGCCAGACGTAATTCAGGCAACGACACAAAAAAATCAGTGACATTTGTCGGATACATGTGTTGAGGACAAAAAACAAAAACAATTTCAGATATGTATGACTTTACGAGCTGTTACTGTGAACATAGCAACAGGCCTGCATGGCGGCTATATCAAAACAATAACTCTGGTCGTATATCGCGTCTTTCAGTTCAGCTCAAATATTCACCACTGACATTGTTCTAATATATTCGCATTAAGTTGACATTTATACTTTGACGATGCAGTTCCTAAAACAGGCCCTCTCCAAGTGGTATACGTATGTCAGACACTCTATAGCCTCCCAAACGAACCACCTCCAAAGGACCCCCGCATAAGTAAAACAGTGGCTACAAGACGATCAGGTACGGATAACTCTATGACGGTTAATTTCCCGAGCTGCCATCTCCCAAGTTATGATAGCGTTAACAATTACGTTTTACCATTTCTACCACATCTTTAAGACAGAGGTTTGCTGAACAAACAGAAAACATTAACATCAGTATGTTTAGAAGGAATGTTTGGTAAACAAG